TGGTCGTGGGAGCCAGGGTGGTGGCACCTGGCCCCTTCCCTGTCACCCAGGCCACCTCTGCACCCTCCCTGCTTTCTTACAACTTTTGAACGGTTTTTGTGATACAGTTTTGCACTTTTTAGTACCAGATCGAGCTGACCACCAAGGAGGGTTTTGGGGGGGGGGCTACTTTTGATGCTTTTTGGGAACTATTTAAGAAAAACAATTCAAATGACAAACCCAGCCATGTCCTGTAGACACTGCACTCTGGCAGGGGGAGTAGCTTTTTAAATGGACTCAGGGGGAGACCCAGCCCCCCCTTCCTGCTGCAGCAAGCTGAACATGGGCTCCTGCGTGTGCTGCTGACTGCTCCCCTGCCCTGCTCTGGCACCAGCAACCCTTCAGAGAGACAGAGAGCGCAAGACAGCTTTGTGGCCATTGACACCAAGGAGGCAGCCTTGGGATACAGCACCCATTGCTGCAAGCAGGAAGCTGATGCACTCATGACCCTCCCTGGCAGCCTGGACCAGCCCTGTTTCCACTGTCTGGCTGGAGCCAGCTTTCCTTCCCGTGCCACTTCTCCAGCGCCTGGATGGGCCCAGCAAAGTCCAGTCTGTGCTGTTGGGAGGTCCTCATGCTGCAGCAGCAGTCATGGAGTCCCTTCCTTGCGAAGGTGAGGGGCAGGCTGCAGCAGGCTCCACCACTCTGGGGTAGGCTGGAGGATGCTTGTCCAAAGCAAGAGGCCAGGGGTGAAGCATGGACGCAGGCGTGCCCAAAGTGCACAGGAAGGGATCTGGGGACAGCAGAAGGGCTGTGGGCAGTGTGGGGGGCTGGCACACATGCTGTTCTCAGCCACCTGGGACCCGGCTGGTTTCAGCACTGACTTTGCGAATGTGTCAAACTTTTTATTCTGCTCTTTTGAGTCTATTGCAAAAAAAAGGACAAAAAAAAAAAAAAAAAAGGAAAAAAAATTCCACCCTTGCCTCAGGTGGCTTGGGGGAAGGAAAAAAAACCTTTGTACAGCTTCTTCTCTCGGTTACTGAAGTAAAACTTGCTCTTCACTCGTGTGTGCCGTGGTTTCTCCTCCACAGTTGAGGACAGCCCTCGCATGGGGGGATGCTGAGGAGGGGCCAGCAGCTGCCTCCTTGCTGCCAGACTCCCAGCCCCAGACAGGACTCAGGAGGGTTAGTGCCCACCTGCTCAGGGCCAGCACTGGAGAGAGGGAGGGCAAAGGCTAATAGAAACTGTCCCTTTATTCAGAAGAGGGACCATTAAATAAGAGCAGAGAGGGGCAGGAGCCGGCTGGACCCTGTCCTCCTGAGACCAGGCAGGCGGGACCCCAAGGCCACAAGCG